TTTGGTTTTTTTCACAGGGGGCAGGACTGCCGCTGAAGATGCCAACGAGCCCCCGCTGCCACTAGAATAGCTGCTGCCGCTTCCTCCTCCTCCTCCAACAGCACCAACACATTTGCTGCCCAGCGCTGCAGCTGAGGTGAAGCTGCCAGCACTCCCGCTGGCGCCCCCGCCCATGGCAGCAGTGGCGGTGCCTCCCCCTCCGCTCGGAGCACTTCAGCTGGGCTCCGCGTTACCCCTGCCGCTGCCTCCACTTCCGCTGCCTTCCTACTAGCTCCCACGGCCTCATGGCTCCTCAAAAGCATGGCGGAGGAGGAAGGGGGAGGGATAACGCGGGGGCCAGCTCAGGTGCTCCGCGTGGAGGAAGAGGCACCACTCCCACAGCCGGGGGTGCTGACGGGAGCTTTAGCGGCTTCACCTCAACCGCAGCATCGGGCGGCAAATCCGGCAGTGCTGTTGGAGGAGGAGGAGGCGGCAGCAGCTATTCCCTTCAGCTTCCGGAGCTTGTAACAGAAATCACTGCGTGCAGTTAGAAACGGCTGCACGGTGTTTTCTTGCCACATGCGCGGCCGCGCAGCTGCGCACTTTAGAGGGAACAGTGATAACCATATGTTATAAATAAAGGACATAAGACAATAAAGCCCTACATTTTATTCTTTTTCATTTCATGTTTTTTATAATACTGGGAGCTTATTCCTTTCCCAGCTAATGTAAAATCAAAGCAGTATTTCGTCCTTCTTTAAAGGTCTCTGTTTAGAGTTTCTTTTGATTCTGGGGAAATCATAAGGAGGCTTTTTCCTAATGTTTTACATGAAGTGGATAAGGAATCATTTGTCACTCCTATTCATATTCTAAAAAAACATAACCTTCCTCAAAAATAAAAAATGGAAAAAATTGGCACTGCATTTTCTGGTAACGTAGCCTTTGAGTTTTCAAAGGATTGAAAGGCCAAATTGTAGCATTAAACATTCTCGAACCTTGTTCACTGATGTCAATGGCATCTCTAATTGAGGCAAGGATCAATTTTCCCAGGTTGATAGACCATCTTCTCTCATATCCAAGGGAGAAGCATGTCTTATTCCCTCAATGGTAAGCTTTGTAGCTAAGTTTATAAACTTGGTTATTTGCAACTTCATCTAATATGCCATCATGTTGTACTCCATAATTAACACTGATCAATTATCACTGTACCTCTTGCTTAATAAAAATTAGACTTTAGATAATGATGTCAAATACATACAAATAGTCCTTGACATATGACCATAATGGAGCCTACCATTATGATCATATCTTGTGATGATAGTAATTTTACAACCTTTTTTGTGACAGTCATTAAAGGAACCAGTGGTTTGGTATGGATGTGGTAAAAAACAGAAGTAAATGTTAAACTGTAAAACATCATGTGATTGTGGGATATTGTAAATGACCATAAAGGTGGCCATGTTGAGTGCCCAAAGTTTGGTCACATGCCTATGGAAGGGCCCAAGCATCAAAACTTTGAATATGGGTCGTAGGTCCCCTTTTTTGCTTCCATTGTAACTTCAAATAGTCACTAACGTGCCTGGTTGCAAGTCAAGGAATATTTGTTCATCCTGTTCTGAATTCATAAATACCTATCATCATATGAGTGCCATTGTCAACTAAGTAAAGCTAAAAGGATTCTTTTCAGAAGGGACTATTGCATATAATATGGTCTTAGTATATTTCCAGTAATAAGCAATGGCATTGTACTTTCTCTGGCCTTTTAATCTTAATTCTAATGTGTAATTTCAATGCAATTCTTTATCTCTCAGATTTTTTTTCAATTCTATTTTAAATTAACATTGTTACAATTTTTTTAACCTCTTCATTTTTATTGTACAGTAATTTTTTAAGAAATTATGCTCACCTTACTAGCTGCTTCTTAACTCATTCCATTACAGTTGTGATTATTTATTTTCTAATTATGTAGCACTAAATAACTCTTTGCTAACCAAACAAATGACATTTATCTATTTCATAAGCTAGCTTGGGAGTTTCAATTGATCTTTAAGATAGGGTTATAAATATTGTTAATGTAAAAAATGTAGAGAGTTGGTATATTTCGCTTATAGAAAAGGTATTTCCATAATATACATTTTAACACAACGAATGTTTTAACGTTCCTCTTTTTCTTTTTCTTTAACCAGGTGTGATTATTGTTCCAAGTGCTGGTGTTGGTATTGTCTTAGGAGGTTACATTATAAAAAAGCTAAAACTTGGTGCAAGAGAATCTGCAAAACTAGCAATGATTTGCAGTGGAGTATCTCTATTATGCTTTTCAACACTCTTCATAGTTGGATGTGAAAGTATTAATCTAGGAGGTATAAATATACCATATACCACGGGGTAAATATATTTTGAGCTTTCTAAATTATTTATACTTTGCGTCAAAGCCAGCCTTTTTGTGCTGTATAAAAGGCAGTATCTTTTTCATAAGAACATTAAATAATTTAAAAGTGCTTTAATAAGTAAGTAACAAAGAAATATATTGTATAATCATGGATTGAAATACTCCACAAGAAATAACAATTCATCTGTTGTGTTGAAATAAACAATCTTTGGTAAGTATTATATGCAAAATGCAAAGAACCTAATCTAAAAATACACAATGTTTTAGATACACACATACCACTTCTAAATTATTTATTTGAAGAAAGGGTACTAAGGATCATTTCCACCATTCATGGGATATTGCTTTGGAGATCATAGTCTTTCTTGGGTTATGCTCTTCTAAGTGTGAGATAAGTTAATTTTAATGGAAGAAATTTGATATTAAGACATTTCCCTTTTTTCCTTGCCTGCCTTCCCAGCTGAATGTTTTTGAATCTGTAAAGCTTGACCTTGGAAAACATAAAGACATGGATTTTGAAGGATTTTTAGTGCTTTCAGTATTCTATTTTCTCTCCAACCTGAGTATTTTTAGAACAAATCTTGACATTTGGTTGAATGAATCCAAAATCAATCAATCTCCCCCCCCCCTCACTCACTCTCTCACACACATCCATGTTATTACCGTATATATACAACATCAATATTTATTTCCATAATATATATTTAATACTGCAAATTATGGTAATGACCATCAGCCCAAGAACTTTAAATTGGTGATGAGGAAATATATTTTCAGAACATAAATTTATGAGCTCATTTAGCCATTATAACTAAGTGAATGTAGATGTTTGGCTGAATGACCAAGGCCCTATTTTGTTCAGGGCAAGAAAGAAAAAAGAGCTTTGACACTAACCAGCTTACCCTCTGAAATCAGTCACAATTGTTTCATTGCTGTCATTCACTTAGGCAAAATAAGTTATGTAATGCTGTATCTTATATAAGAGAGCATATACAAATTAGCTATAAGAATCATCCATTTCTATTTTTTTTTACAAATTTTACATATTTCTTAGTTCTGTATCTGTTTGTTGTTTATTTTGTTTTTAGGAAGATAATTTCAGTTTCTCCTAGGCGCTGGAGTGTCCAAGCTCGGGTTTAACTTCAGCTTGCTGCCCAAGGACTGAGTTTGATTTTTTTGTGTTGTAGCTCCGCCTCCCGGTTCCTCCAGAGGCTCAGTTTTAAAAAACTCAGTCGCCCTACAGGACGTCTTTCCAGGGGCTCCAGTCCAAGCTGGATCCCAAATTTCTTATTTATCCTTTTGGGTTAGAGTTAGTGTAGCTCCTTTAACTAGACTGCTAGTGAGATTGTAGATAGGGTTTTTCCTGCTTTCTACCTCAGCAAGGAATCCTATTTGCCTTCATCGCGCAGGTAGGCTCCCTGGGGCGATCGCAGCCCAGCCACCACCTGGGCTGTCTCTAAGTCGGGTCTTCTCCTCAGGACGGTTCAGTGAGTATGGGGGGGGGGGGCGATTGCGCTGTCAGAGCCCCTCTGAGCCCCTGACAGGAGCGCTAGGCTCCATCCAGGCCCGACGACACTCCAGGCGCGCGGCGCGAGCACGGCCGCCATTTTAAAATGGACTTTTGGCGCGCTTTCGATCCCAGGGCCCAAAATTTCGCCGCGCAGCCTCCCTTGATTAGCGGATCGCCGCAGAGGGCCGCTGTAAGCCCAGAGCCTCACGTTGGGTGGCCACGGAGGCTCTTGCCCTCCTCTTTCTCCCAGCAGCTGCAGGGAACCCGGGCTTCAAACCCCCGCCTACCTGTCTTCAGCG